AATTCACTCGAAGGCAGTGAAGAAAAAGAACTTTATCTTACAAAGAGACAACAATCGCAAGTAACAGAAAAAAAGCCCAATGTTGGGGCGAAAGAACAGGCGGGAAGAGCGAATGCTGAAAATAAAAGAAATTTGAAAACGAAAAAAAACAATGAGCTCTCGTGTCCGGGCTCGCCCACTTATTGAAGGGCGCGATCCCGCGCGATCATCCGTGCTCTACGAATCCGCGATCAGATCGGGCTAGCGCTCATCCTGTGTTACAGTTCTCTAATCAGAATTGCAACCAACGTATCGAAACATCAAAGGCACATTCCGCGATAAACTAAGGCTAGGTTCTCATAACCGTGCACGATGGTCAAGCAGGCAACGTCAGAGGCTATACCGCTTTTAAAAGTTGAAAAACAGCAAGCAAAACGCAGCGCGCTCAGGTTTTAGGCCCATTGGCGCCCGATAGGCCCATGCCGGCCTCCAGTGTCGTTGTGAGACTGCCATTGCGCTCTCTCGCCCGTCGTTTTCTGGCCTCTCTCGTCTCTTATCAGTGTTTCGCAATTCACAATTGATCTTGACCTTACGCTCGTCCGGTGATCATGATCAATTGCAATAAAGAGGGTCTTATTCCGGGCGCTTTTTCGTGCTTCCTTCTCCTTCAATAAGTCAACAAACACACGGCAGTTCTATTTTTGAACCGTATTACCTATGAACTGTGGTCGCGGGATGCCTCTAAATGGCTGTTTGCTTCTGATTTATGCTCTCACTCTAGGGAACATTCAGTGGAAAGAATGTCTTGTCACATACCCAGGAGGAAGACGCATTCAAAGTGTGGAAGCTCTCAAGACTCAAAGGAACTGACCAAATCACAATTTCCGTTTATAGCGGATCGCCGTGATCGATAGACACCATAATTGTTCCATGAGGCTGATCTTTCAGCGCTGGTCAATCCCTTCTTGGAATGCAGTATGCACTTTACATTCATTCAGAACCGGGACCCATTGGATGCGATATGGCCTGAACAGTAACTTGCTGAACCAGCCCACTGCAAATTGCGTTTTTATCGTCCCAGACGAATACGGTACCGACGCCGGACCCACAGGATACAGGTCCTGGTTGCCCTGTGCAGAAGCAGATCCCATATGAGCGCGGTAAACGGGTCACTTGTCGCTGCACTACCTTCGCCTAAAAGTGTGGGTGAGTGTGTGTTCAGCACAACTTGAAACAAAGGTGTGTTTATTTACCAAACAATATTACAACATAAAGTCTATATACTACAAGATCGACATATCCTCCTACAATACCAATGGATCTAACTAAAATGATCTGGTGATCATCGATTATTACATCTGAAGACCCTACATTATTAGATCCTTATTATAAGGAATTTTGGGATAGTTAACCAGTATACGACAAATACGATGACAAAATGAATTCAAATTAGCAAGTTATGTCAAAATTAGTAAGCTAAAGGTTACTGAACCCGGACAGCACACACTCGGTTGAGACTGGGAGCACAGCACGGAGTATCAACGATGATGGTGAGTTACGAAGCAGTGATGATTCGCAATGTGTTGGTGAAGCCAGCTCCTGGAAGTAATGGTATGAAGCCGAGCAAACAGAACGTACCCTGGAATTCTGAGAACTCACCCTGTCTCCATCCAGTGATTACCACGAGGAAATCTCCTCTGTGGATAAAACCTCTGTCCTTGCCAATTTCTATGCCATGATTGATTCTGTTATCAACATCTGTAGGCCAGTCAGCACAACGAGGCTTATCGTAGTGAATAGGGAAGATTCCTCTGAAAAATTACAAATTTTAGATAGGACTGCGATCCCAAAATGTTGCCACTTGATAAAACAGCGGTAAGGGAGGCCTTGGTTCTTCTCTGTCCCCTTGTACCGCAATGTCCCTCTAACCCGTAGGAACTACTTTTAGGACCAGTTACTGCATGCTGCGGAAGTGCCAATATTTCAGAAATGCAAGTTGCGAAAAACAGCGCCTTTTCAAGCTGCGTGAATGCGTCCTGCAAGATGCAGAGAACCATTTCGAGCGTCTCAAGAGTAGGAGAATCCTCTTTGTTGTAGGTTTGTGAGAAACCAGAGTTTCATTAATAATATACAAAAGGCGAGAAAAGTGGTTTCGATAAAAATTCTCTCGGTGAATCACGTGCGCTCCACACATTCATGTAGAGTTTTTGCCAAGGCCGAATCATTTTTCCAATTTCGGCAACTATACCGCTAATCCCATTACGAGTCGTGTTTGCATGAATGCATGGGAATGAATGGGAATCAGCGACCAGATTCCCTCAGAACTGATATTGTCCAAATTTAGAAGCTCCACTTGGTTTCTGCGCTTACTCAGGTTTTACACGTTTGCACCTTCATCATTCATCAGTCTATATTTGGGATGCAACACGCGTTCATCAACTTCAGAATAGTAGTGGGTTTTGAATAATATGCCTATACAATGACTTGCGTGGACCAGCTGATGTACAAGTCAGATCTATTATTCTCGCCGACAAAACTGGTATCAATTTACCGTCCACGGGGGTGAACGGCTTCGTTGGCGTGGGAGGGAACAGACCCGAAAGACCTGGGGATCAAAGGATTAAGGCACAACTGGCTGTATGACTACAACCAGGCCAGAGCTCCTTGACACACCCAAGACTACGAGGAAATCTCGAAGCCCAGAGATCAATGTTCGAGAATATTTGAAAGGGAATGGAAGAACAGATGGGGATGGGGGAGGAGGACACGTCATGGGAATTTGTGGTACAAGTTGGGCCAAAGCCGTTACCGAATGGAGTATTGGGACGTCAAACGAACATCTAACGTCTAACCCTGCCCGATGGTTAGACTTTTTCACGATTGCTATGCCCACTTGCTTCGCGCTCCCAGTGAAAAGGGAACGCTCTGTGCTGGCTCTTAAAAAGACGAATGGACTGGCGTGTTCGAAAAACCCCTTGATCAACACGAAAACAGGCGACAAAGGAGGTGAATACGTCAAAACGATTACTAGGATGCAAGGAAATCAAATGTCGGAAAGCGAACAATTTTCACCCCACTAGGTACTACTTTACAAGATAAAGTGCAATGGAAATTATTAGGTTGTCCGGAAAGTTCTCAGCGTTTTGGGTGTTTCACTTTAAACGATCGTAACTTTTTTAATACTCATCGGATTTAATCGAAATAGGCACCATTCGAATCAGCACACTTTTGCCAATGTGACAGCAGTCGAGAAATCCCATCAAAGTAAAAAACTGGGTGGTCGAAAATTCACGAAATCCACGAAGGCTTTTTGCCTGGTCCTGTTTGATGAAGTATTTCCCAGCAAGGAAGTTCTGAAAATGTTTGAAAAGGGAATATTCGGTTGGTGGAAGGTCTGGAGAATATGGCGGTTGAGGTAGAACTTCAACCCCCAATTCGTTCAATTTATGGATAGTGATTTGTGAAACGTGTGGGCGGGCGTTGTCATGCAAAGGAATCGGACCCTTTCTTTTGATAAGTGTTGGCTGCATCTGACAAAATTTTCGGTACAATTCGTCGATTTCTTCACAGTAGGGTTCTGCTGTGATGGTTTGGCCTGGTGATAAAAGTTATAGTGGATCACACCAGCCGATGACCACCAAGCCGTGACCAGAATCTTTTTTCGTGAGGGTTCGGCTTTGAAAATTACCTCGGTGGTTCGTCGAAATCCAACCACTGTCCGGAACGTCTCCTGTTATCATACATGACCCATTTTTCATCACAGGTGACAATTCGGCCCAAAAACAGGTCGTTTCTGCTGCGCAAAAGCAATGCAGAAGGAACCTCGAGACGTGCCGATTCCTGCCGGTCACTCCGATTGTGGGGCACCCAATTGTCGAGTTTTTCACCTTCCCAATGCGTTCCAGACCATCTGCAACAGTGGATTTGCCAACGCCTAGCTCTTCTGCTATCTCTCGAACTGTTTGGGATGGGTCAGCCTCCAAAATCCCCCTAAAATCCTCGTCAGATATTGCTTTAGGTCGACCGCTATGAGGTTCATCTTCAAGGCTGAAATCTCCAGAACGAAATTTGTTGAGCCATTGCCGCACAGTGCTTTCTCTAGCACTATTGGGCCCCCACACCTGGTTAATTTGTTTATAGTCGAAGAAAAAAAATCGTCCGAAGTGCTCTTTTCACATGCTTGAAAAAAACTTGAAAAAAGAGGGTTTATCAAGCAATGGTGAAACGGCAATTATACCATCAGATAGCGCAAGAAATTCTCTACAGGATGTGCTACTGAGAAGCAAGGCAGAATGAGTTTTTAATCAGCAGTGAATGTACAAAAAATAGGTGCACAAAACGCTGAGAACTTTCCGGACAACCTAATATATCCCAGGCGCGCAGAGTTATGCACAAAAGGCTCACGAGGCCCGTACTATTGAATTCCGGGCTGTGTGCTTAACTTGTTAGCCCGCGAATGCCCACTCTAGCAATGACACCTGCTAGCAGTTTAAAGCAGCCGAAACAAAGAACGAGGATTTATGAGAAGTAGATTTGACAATAAAGCTACCTTTCTGTCACGGCACAAGTAGATCATTCAAAAGTTTCATCTTTTAGGATCGTTTCTTTTTTAGCCGGTCTCATTCTTCTCAAAAAAGCCCTTTGTAACCATTCAAATAGTCTTTTCAATAGAAAGCATTAACTCACTGCAAGAAAAGTCAGCCTAATCGTAAATTAAGGCTCTTGTAGCGTACGCCCCAGTAACCACACAACAATAGCGTTATTGCAGAAGTTATGATTTCCTCAGGTTAGCTTGATATTACATTGCTCCTCAGGTAACTTTTATTTACCCCCTAGAGTGTAGCTTTCAAAAGTGGTCTCGCTCTGGCAGTTACTTTTCAAAGCCGTCATGGTGAGACGCTATTGTGAGGAATGCACCGCAGCGCGACTGATTCGAGCTCTACTCGTACTACTCCCTTGAAGTAGCCGTCGAAAAACTGCCACCTTTCAGGCTTTCAAAATTCATCCCGAGGCGTTCGAAACTACAACAGCTGCACTTCTCCCTCGCGATACCAAAAGTGAAACGCTAATCCATCGACTTCCACCAACCTGTAGAGATGCAACTGGCGACAAACAGCTGCACTACGAGAGATTGTGAGCACTGGAACCGGACTCTTGTATCTTGAGCAACAGAGAGCAGAGCTGAAATAGGAATCGAGTTGAGTAGGAAAGAGAAAGAAATGAACACACACTTAAGTTGTCTTACTTACCGTCCTGTAGTGGTGATAAGAAGGATGGCGGATGCGTTACAGCTTGCAGCGGCACTGGCGGCAGCGATCGCAATCGTTTGCGTCACGTCCGTAGGTCGTGGAGTATTCACAAGCAGCTCTTCGAATAACTTGCGATGATAGCAGGCAGCTTCTGCCTCCTAACATAGACATCACAATTAAACTTTTTTTCCCATGTAGAAAAAGTATTCGAGTAAAATAGCAACGAACAGCTTACCTTGCAGATGAAGTGCATGATCTTCAGAGCCTCGACCGGATAATCTCCTTTTGCAGTCTCACCAGACAGCATAACACAATCCGCACCATCCAAAACCTTCAAAGTGGCCATATTTTACTATTCTGGCATGTTTTCCGGGTAAAAATCCATCGTAGATATTAAAAAAAGAATGAAATTACGCGGTGAATGAGTAAAAAAATTAAGCGAGATCGAAACCACTGAAAGTAAAGGTAAGGAAGTAAAATGCCATATGATATAATAAAATACATAATATATAAAATATAACAAAGAAATGTTTAAGATATTTAATACATTAGTTCGCTGCGGACGAAGGGGCGTGTCAGGCAGTGTGAGTGTACCACGGCGCCAAACTCGTTTTCTGCCAATGTTGAAGCGGGTGTGCAACAACAATTGGTGGAAAACGAGTGATACCAGCGATATGATACAGTCTTATATGATACAGTCAGCGTTCATACATCGCGACAGCAGAGGCAATCGCGGCGATCGTAGCGAATGCAGTATGCAACCGAGCGCGCTCCAAGGCTATTGCTTGGAGGCTCGCAAACTAAGAAGAGAACCGACAACCTATTGGTGCGCTTTTTTCCTTTGATTGCAACCTTAGGGACAAAGGCTTGTTTTGACTCACAGAAAGATGGACCCAGATAAAATGCGCGCTTTTTTATTTTCTTTTTTGATTCAAGATAAAACATTGCAAAAAGCATGAGAGCTTCATTTAGGGTAGTCTTAATTGCTCTAAACTCCTCCTCTTGGTTGTTGCATGAAAGACTATAAGATTTTTCTAGGTGAAGGTTTTCTTCCGTTTCTGTTTTTCGTTGTTGGAATCGACTTGTAAAAGTATTTAAATGCCCTTTGGAGTTGGAACAGTACTAGCGCAAAGCGAAATTTTTAGAGACATTATATACTGAAACATAAAACAAAAGAAAGCCCTCACCTAGGGATGAAGCTGGCTCCGGGGGTCCTGAGCCTCAAAGAAAGGCGGAATCTTTACCTTCTCATAATTCCAGCATACTCAATAAGTAATAGAAGTCGTACGCGTTTCGCCGTTTAATAGCTCACGATTAAGAGAAAAAGGTCTACATAAGCCCTATATTCCTTATTTATCAAAGGGAGTGTCCCAATAAAGCGTTGAGGCGCGCACGGTTGGATACCGCCGATCGTAGGTAATTCGGATCGTCGCGATCTCGCCGCTGCCTCTGCCTGTCGCCGCAGAGCTATGAACGCTGCGTTATCACTTGCTGTCCGCTTCAAACCTGGTGGAGAAGGGATAGGGCAACGCGCCAACTCATCGCGCCTGACATGCTGCCCTTTTGTCCGCAGCTAAGCAGAGTATAAACACTACAGAGCAAAAGGATTCATAACGTATTTACAAACGAAGTAATATAAATATTAGACACTATTTACCTTTTAATTCCCCCCACATTCTTGCAAACAGCGCAGTTTTCGGACCGACCTTTTTTCGGTTCGCGTTACGCAGAATTGGGGTCCACAATTTGTTCGGTTAGTGCGACCTCACTGAACAATGAGGGGTATATCACTGTGCGCTCCGGACGGAACTTCCTGACGCCCGCGTCCAGGCGCCCCGCCCAAAATCTGCAGCCATCAACTCGCTGGAAAACTTTAGTTCCAGCGGTTAGTCTGACCTCCTAAACACAAACACATCCCGCTTGGCTCGAAACCTCCTGGCGCCCGCGCTACAGGTGCTGGCGCCAAAATACCCCAAATCACCGGCGCCCGTGGCGCGGGCGTCAGGAAGATCCGCGGCTGAGATCCGTGATATTCTATTCAGAAAGCAGATTAATCTCAGAAGACAACTGGTGGGTGAGTCAAATTCCTTACACGAGAGAAAAAAGTCCCGTCCTGTCAACAAACTGGTCAATTCTGGGATGGTTGGAGCGTAGCGAAGGTATAAATAGTGCCAAAATTGATATATGGAAAGTTGAAATATAAACATTAAAGCTGTGAGACATATCCATTGGCGTCAAGGAAAAGTTATGAAAAACCGTTCATTAAAACAATCGACTATGAATGCATGAGAACTAGAAGATCGTCAAAAAGCCCGAAGCTTACAGAGAAATAAGATTTCTATCAACTATGCCAATTCTTGCCTAACTGCTCAGAAAGTGATTGCTAACGACGAAACAGCATCTGCGAACCATACACTGCTCGCGCAGAGTTGGACGTGGTTTCCTTACACCAATGGATCGAGCATTGAGCTAGCACAAAAAATGAGCTGCGCTTACCCGCGCTTTGTTTACACATTGCTATCGAGGTTCTATCAAGTAAAGCGTGCTTATTCAAACTCCCTAGAATGGCATGCAGACCTTATCTCTGCTAGTCTACGCTTTCTGAAGCAACAGGACACCTTCTCGACAAGGATTTCCAATTCCAAAGATCACCTCTCGCCTACCCAGTAATGCCCCTGTCTGTATCCCTCAATAATCTCGATCAGCCATTATCCATGACCTTCCCTGGTTTTTACTCATTGAGCGTATGTGTTTATGTCTTTGCCTACTTATCGCCACAGTAACCGTAAACAAATGAATTATTTCAAGAAGATTCAGGAGACTCAATATAGAAAAGAGATACGCAAATCAATAAAACGAATTCACACAAATTCTCACCTTTCGAATTAGACCGTACCGCACCTCCCTCTGCATTTCGAAGTGAAGGGGTCAAAGTACGAATTCGTCGAACGCCATGCGTCAATGCCCGAACTTAAGATCGCTGAAAAAATGAATCGTCAGTCGAGATGCTTTACTACCCAAAGTATTTCAGCGGACAGCTATTTAGACTGACAGTATTCCTACCCCAAAAAAGACTCAAAAAATTTTTGCACCGAAAGACGTGTCCTGTAGATGTAATTCGATGCACCTGATCACGAATATAAACATCCGCTTCGAGCGCTGGCGTCATTCATCGCCATTATGCGCCAATTTGGCGCCCACCACTTTTTTCACCAAAGTTGATGAAAACTTGCATATGGGGGTTAATTGAGGTCCTGATTACGAATATCACACTGGTTTCAAGCGCTGGCGCCATTTGGCGCCATTATGCGCCAATATGGCGCCAAATTGGCGCGTAATGGCGCCAAATGGCGCCAGCGCCAAAATAAATGTTGGATTCGTAATCAGGACCTCAATTAACCCCCATATGCAAGTTTTCATCGACTTTGGTGAAAAAAGTGGTGGGCGCCAAATTGGCGCATAATGGCGCCAAATGACGCCAGCGCTCGAAACGAATGTGATATTCGTGATCAGGGCATCGAATTACACCTATAGGCAACGTTTCAGCGAAAAAAAATTTTTTGAGTTTTTGGGGTAGGAATAGTTCAATAGTGCCGATATTCGTGTCCAGGTCTGGGCGCCACAGGCCAATTTCGGCCCCGAGTAGCCCCGTGGGTCGCTCAAAGTAAGAAGTGTGAATAATTAAATTGAAACCTCTCACACTCGCCACTTTGGACGCAGCAATAAAAAGAGAATTACACCATAATGTACCTGTATGTCCTTATCAGAGATAGCTGGTAAGTCAACAATAGTGCCAGGAAGATTCACACCTTTGCGGCTTCCTGGAATTGTTCCGAAATTACGCGTGGTCTTGAGCCAGCGAAGATGATTTCTGCAGAAGCAAAAGAGCTTACCGAGCATTCCTCCATTTTCAACTGTACATATAACTGTATTCTCCCTAATCTCGTCGACAACAAGAGAAATGAGACCATCATCGACAAAAACGTGAGATCCTGGCTTTACCACCTGCAAAGAATATGGTCTCGATGAAATTGTGACTTGGAGCAAAAGGTGATAAGGTCTGAAATAGAACTTCTTGACCCGACAAGAGAAGCAGCGATCAAGAAGCAATTATCATTAACGCGACTTGGGAAACCCGACTTTCAGACCGTAAGCCTGCTCAGTCCACCTCATACAAAGCTTCCTCGCGCGAGTCGGTTGATAGACAGTGATTGGAGACATTCGAGTGTCTTCGCGGTGCAGTTCCAATGACAACAGCGATGGGTATTTATTGAGGAGACTATAGGAGCATCTAAGAGAGGCTGTAGATTCGGAATTCTGGACATGCGACCACGAAGTGCCCCAAAGAAGAGATGGAAGGATAGGGAGGACGTCACTGAAGTCAAAGTCACGACAGAAGATGCTTTGGAGCAGTGATACCAATTAAGGACAGCGGGTCCAGCGACGGCGGGGTGTCATGAACCAAACACACATCCCAAACACTCTGAGCAGAAGTAGAGGCACGGCGCATCCCTGAGAAAGGTTGACGGTGCCTTTTCATTCATATGCCAAGAGCGAAGTATTAAAATGTGTGGCTGAAAGGCACTATCCGCGACTGTGCGACAAGAAGAAACTCTTCCATAGCACAATGTGGCATGGTGTACAACCGCAGCGCATTTCTCACTTTCGCGACTAAAAATAAAATAAAAAGCTACGGCTTGACGTCCACGAGCTAGCTCCGCCTCCTCAAGCTGAACCCACCTTTACGATTCCGTCTAACCATCACTATGTGGGGTGGGGTCTCGACCATTTTTGCCCTCTCTAGTCGCACCACAGCCTGCTTCTCTTTCATACACACAGTGCCAAATGCTCATTTAGTGCCCAGGGGCAATAGAGTTCTTATCCAGAACATTCTTCACGGCTTAATTTGCTTTTTCCTTCACTAATATCCCACCTACCACATGATATTATCAGCCCTGGCCGGATGTGGCGACTGCATGCGCTGCCCTGTAGCAAGAGAGGAATTCTTCGTGGATACCTATCACCTCACAACAAAACTATAGGGCAATACAGTAATAAGAGTGATGCATACCTTTGAAATATTTTTGTAGTCCACATAAAGATTAATTGCCGTACTCGAATCCTTGAAATGTTCGTCCGTAGTGAGGAGAATCGAAGCTCCTTTCACGACTTCTATCTGAAACAGGAGGGAAATAATATGGCTTGAGCGTCCTGTTGATTTCGCTTGCAATTAATTCTGAGTTGAATTGTAAAATTAAAACTAATTCCGACCTCAGCCGACGGTCCACCGACCAGAATACCGGTACGGATTTCAGGACCTTTTGTGTCCAAAGCGATGCCAATTTGGCGGACTTCACTGAACGATTCGCATGCCTCGCGAATATTAGCAATCGTCCCTGCGTGGTACTGAAAATGGACTGATAGCTTTATAAAGAAATGAATCGTAACCAGAAGTGAACAAGCATTAGTCACTCGCTTAACCGCAATATTAGATACTCCAACCAATCAAATTAGCTTTTCGAATGAGATTATATTCCACTGTTTCTCAACACAGCAGCAGGTAGGAAACCGCCTTTTTTCTCGGATGAGAGGTGGGGTGTACAGGGTGCATATATGCCATATAAACAAAAAATTAATGACACACCCGGGTGTGTTGGACCCCAACTTTCGCATCAAGATAAAATCAACTATCAAAATAAATTGTCGTCCATTAAACAAATTACGACGCCCCCTCCCGCCGGGAAGCAAAAAGTAACGAACCCCCTAATGGTGCCCTTACAGCAGCATAAAAGATGCTGTGCCCTGCATGGAACAAACTACTGGTAACACCGCTAGTAATTTTAGGACATGGAACTAGCTGCTGATGAGACTAGAGGTTCGTAAAGAAATCAGAAGAAAAGCTAGGATGATCGAAGGCGTGCTTCACGTAGGAGTGCCCCTTACACCTTCAAAAATAGGGTACATCAAACAAGTAGCTAAGAAATTCAAAGTGTTTAGGAACGATTTTTCGCTGTCTATTTATGTGCTCTATTCGCTATTTCTCTCTCTCTTTCACTTTGCTTGTTTCAAAACAACCAAGAGTGTAGGATAAAAATGTTTTGTTGTTCAGCCATGTTTTCATGCCACCGGGTCCCAAAAGGGTGAAGACTGGTAGACGGGCTACGGCGGCAGAGCCAGCCGCGGTCCTCGCCACCCACGCCGACCGCTTTGAACCGGCGTACTATTAGCTGAATCGCCGTGTTTAAAATGTAACGTCTACGGTTTCAATACGAATAAAACAAGAGAAGAATAGATAAATAAAAGTAATACTTTGTGCTTTGCAGCTTCAGTAAAGTTCCTCCTTACACCAATAGACGGCGCTCATGGTGCCCCGAACTTGTATCTTTCTCTGGTACCTTCGGATTCTTCACAAGGGCGCGATGTAAAGTTTGCTGTTGTGGGCCAATGTTCGGCGAATAAAAAACATTGTAAGTTTTGCCAATCAGAGAGCACTCTCGACTGACCATCAACAGACTGGAATCGAGAACGGCTTATAATGGGCGAATGGGGCGAGTTTGAACCGCAGGTCTGCAGTGGTTTGTGTCGCGCAGGACGGCCTACAAAATACAGGGACTCGGGTCTGCGCTTGACGATCAACGGTGGTTCATTGTTAGTGTTGGTTATCATCCATTTTTGTCGATCTGATTGCCGAGGAACAGGCAATATACACCGACAACGACGATTTTATTCTCTGTATAGAGTCGCCTGGAAGCCACAGTGGTAGATATCCTTTTGCATGATGATGCACTCCACTGCCGCACGAACTCCTCAATGGTAGAACGTCGCGCGGCTTTCTCATCTGCATTCATTCCAAATATTGACGATTTGATGTTTTGACTCGGAGTCCACAGTCCGGGAGTGGGGAGCGTTTTCTTAGTCATGAATGACATCTCATGCTGAGAACATTACTGCTAATAATATAGAATCGGCACTGCGTTCGTGCTTCTATAAGAAAATTAGGTACCCATGCGCCACCCTCTTGACCATCCTCAGTTTATCGGACATAACTCGGGCAGCAGTTGCAGCTGGGATGTCAGACTCGCGGGGAAGCTCGACAAAGGTCCAGGCTCTGGGATCAGACATTCAGCGCTTGACTTCATCCACCTTTTTTTGTGCAGGATGAACATTATGGGACCATCCACGACAACAAATTTTTTCCTTTCTTCCTTCTTCGGGCTCCTGAACCAACCTTCCACCTTGTATTTCGAGAACACCATTACACACAACTACTGGTCCGGCGCCGGTCAAATTTGAGCAGCGCACTTTCCTCTGACGCCTGATTTGAAAATCCGGCGCTGATTTTCACCACTCGGGCTTCTTTTCAATTTCTCAACTTCTTCTGTGGGTAGGTTCGCCAAATTTCACAGATACACAGCTAAAGGTACTAGCCTCCAAATGGTATAGTAGCCCGCTGCCCTATCCCCTTTGCTTTTCTGCCATTCCTCTATATGTTTCGGCACTTTTGAATGGGATGACCTAATATTCGCAGTGCAGACGACATACCCCTTGTCGCAGTTCCTCCACAGGCTTGATTCCTGCATGATTAATTCCTCGATAGCTTGGACAGAACATGTCAAAAGTGTTCCGAGGATTAGTTACTGGTTCAATTTTACCCAGGCCAATCAAGCCTTCCACTAACAAGGTTGTAAGGTTCAGCAATTATTACCGAATTCCAGTGTGAATTTAAAAATACAGAGGTGAACATCAGCTGGTTATTAGGCTTAGTTCAATAGGATAAACAAGCATATTGAAGACTACTGTCACTTCGAATGGAAGTCAATGCGTGGCGTATCTCAGAAAAACAAAGATCAAAGTCGAGAACTTTGTGATTATTCTTTGCGTCGAACTATTGCGCACGTTTAATCATCTCGAAATAATATCGAACAAAATTACCAATCCGATGCACTTTGAATGGACGCTGTTTGACTTAGCGGAGGGCATCTTCAACCAGTTCAATTTGCTAGTTCATGTTAACTAGCAAGTCTCATTTTAGTGGAAGAACTCTTGTAAAGCTGCGATGTGGTACAAGTGAGAACTTCATTTACAGGATATCACAGGTTTACACAAGGTGGCCTCTACAAGCTCCTATGAGTACCATTTGGTGCCCCCACCAAGCCGAACTGCGTCTTTCAATGAAACATGCGTATATTCTCCATTTCTACATTTTACTACGGTAAATCATCTAGCTTATAAATGAATTTCAGCAGGAGCCAAGGGTTTCTACGACGCTTAACAGTATTGCCCTTGCGATACTTCTCTCTTTCACACATTCAAAAGCATCTTCAACTTCCCACCGCGCCTTCACACCTACAGTCGTCGTCCCTGCAAGTGCACTAGTCCGCGAGGGGCGCGAATGACAACTCAGCCAGGGTGGACTTCTGCACCAGTTCCTGCCATTGAGACCCCTCATCAATCGTC